AAACGGTTTCCTGTGCCAATAATGAGTACTTAATTAACACTTTCACTTGTGCCTCTTCCAGTTGCTACATTCAAAATGATTGAAGCAGGAGTCATTCTTCATCATTGATATTGTATCTAGCAACATGGGAGAGTTCAGATAGGTAAGAGTCCATTTTACTTGATAAGCTGTCAGGTATTATGGCTGCAACAGTGCATCTTCCTCTCTGCCTCCCAAACACCTAGAAAACACCTGGCAAAAAACTTAGCAAAAATTCGTCACTATGTATTATACGTAAAAACGTACAACACATAATACATGTAATACGTATAATATTTTCCACTTGTGTTACTTGTGTTGTACGTATGACTTGTCTAATACATATTAAAAAGTTATATGTGTAATACGTATGATCTGTAGAATACATAGTGAAAATGTTATACGTATAATACAACCGCGTGCGTTTCAGGGGCTCTCAACTGGTATTCTGGTATTCAATGGTTTCAATAATGTTTCCTAAAGATTTACAAACGCTTTAACAAATGAAGCCCCCGAACAGCCAGAACTAATGAAAAGTCATTCAAAAGACTAAAGCTCGCTCCAGTACAGTCCTCACCTTTCCCATTCTTTGGTAAAGATTAGAACAAGACGGTTTGGAGAGCAAGCAAAGAGGTTGAGAGCCTATCATAGTGCTGGCTAGCTAGCTAGTAGTAGCATACATCATCAATCGATCAGAGAGAGGGTACCATGGAGAAAACAGATGAAGGGGTTGAATGGTGGTAGCGGTGGCAATTTGCCAGAGGATGTGTTGGAGTACCTGACCACCTGCAATGGCGACGATTCGGATGACGACAACCATAGCCATCATAGTAGGCACAGTAGTAGAAGACTCGCCGGCAATGACGCCGAACAAGAAGAGCAGAAGAAGGCAAAGACAAAGAGAAAAGGAAAAAGAGTTGAAACACAAGAAGGAAAAGTGCGGCACAGGTGTCGTGCTGCAGCAGCGACTTCCTGCTCCTCCCTCGTTGGGACGTCAGAGGGATGTGACGGCCGCATCGAGGCGGCGGCTGGAGCATATAGTGTACGACCGGAACGGAGGTCGAGCAGTGCGAGCTTTGCTAGCACTGGTGACGACGATGTTTCATCATCCGGCTCGGTTACCACCAAAGAAGAGAGTGAAGAGACACCAACCGATAGTAGAGGTGAGCTGCCTGCCGTTGTCGCCGAGCTAGTCGATGAAAACGAGTCTGAAGCTGCTCGACAGGAGATTGATCGACTCAAAGAAGCTTGAGGAACTCCGACAAGGTCAACAGCAGCAAAGTGCGGAAATTGTCACGGCAGAACCCATTCCTGATGTACAGCCCATGGCGGCGAGCACGGAATTCAGCACTACTTCCAGTCATGGTTTGGACCGGACTTCGTTTCCTCTCTTGGGCTTTCCAGAGGCTGCTGACAAAACGCGTACCCCAGGAAACAAAACACGGATTGATACGCACCAAAAGCTGGCATTGGATTCCTTGGGACATCTTTACGGGCGGGAGACACAGGTGGCACTCCTAAGCGGTGCCTTTCACAGCTTCCTGGAGCCGACCCCGACCAAGGACGTGGTGACGGTACGTGGAGAAAGTGGTACGGGCAAGTCGGTTCTCTCCAAAAAAGTAGAAGAGTTCCTGCAGCAGAACGACAATGACAATAGAGGCTTGTGTGTCACGGGCAAGTTTGATGACGTACCGCGAGATGCTGCCGAACCATACTCTGCCATTGCCAAAGCTTGCGAAATGCTCTGTCAGACGCTACTGATACGGATGCGCGATGATGCCAATGACTATGGCGATTTGCCTCATCGTATGCGGGAGTCACTCAACAATGATGACATCGACCTCTTGCTGGCGCTCATGCCCAGTCTGCAAACTATTGTCGGAGGAGGAGGAGACGGCTTTTCAAATGGCAGCATCAATTTCTTGGAAGTGAAGAGCCGTTTCCAACATGCATTCAAACAATTCATTCGGTTCGTTTGCTCTGTGGCGCCTATAGTGCTCATCTTGGAAGATTTGCAGTGGGTAGATCAAGGCTCGCTGGACATTCTTGAATGCTTGCTCAAGAACGATGATCAAGGAGCACAGTCGTCCATACTGCTGCTCATGAATTATCGAGACGATGAAGTGGATGCGGATCATCGTTTTGCCAAGTTTTTGGGCATTCTCAAGGAGCAGCAAGCGGCAGACAGCCAATTGCAAATGACGGACATACGTCTCGAAGGGCTATCCGAAGAAGACGTGGAGGATCTGTTGAAACGTCTTCTTGAGGGCAGAGAAGACGAAGGAAACATGAAGCTTCTGGCTGAATGTGTTCATAGCAAGACAGCGGGAAATCCATTCTATTTGAAGCAATTCCTTGCCTCGCTGGAAACCGATGGACTCTTGATGTTCAACTCCGAATCGGACAGCTGGGTGTTTGACGTGTCTCACATCCAAAAGGCCACTCAGGCGACGGACAATGTCCTCACGCTACTGACTAAGAAACTCCGAAAGCTCTCCCCTCTCATACAAGCTGTTCTTCCTCGATTGGCTTGCCTTGGGCCTCGTTTCGCTACTACAACGGCTCATTTGGTCCTGGACCACGTGACGCAGGAGTGCGATGAACACTCTAACTGCAATGAGAGCATAATCGACGTGCTCTTGACGTGCCAACAAGAGGGCCTCATTGTTGATTGTGGCGGCAACACAACGTGGGAGTGGAGCCACGACAAGGTCAAGGAAACCGCATTTCTGCTCGTCGAAAACAAAGACAAGCTTGATCACATCAAGTATGGTCTAGGCCAAGCCCTCTTAGAAAGAGTCCCCAAGCAAAGCTTGAAAGCAATCCAAAGCATCCTTTGTAATTGTCAATTTGTTGAACTCCAGAGCACATCTGCTGGCAAAGGATAATCCAAAGCGAGTGATTTGCAAAGCTGAATTTGAATGCGGGCAAGTCTTCGATGAGGTCGTCGGCATCCCACGGCGCGGCTCAGTATCTGAAACACGGTATCGCACTACTCCCTGCCGAACAGGGAAGGTGGGCACCCACGTATCTGGATCTTTCCTTGGCACTGTACGCAACGGCGGCGGAGGCACAATATTGCATTGGTTGCCATGAGCAAGTGAAGGAACTCTGTGATGAGGTCTTGGCTCAACCAAGCCTTCCCTTGCTGAAGAAGCGACGATTGGTGAGTGTACTGTACCGTTGCTCTTGAGGAATGCTTGGTTATCCTTTTTTCTCAACCTTCTTTCTGCCCACTTCAGTACAATGTTCAAATTCACTCTCTGGCCTCGCAGGCTAAAATGGCCGAAGCCACAGATTTGGTATTGAAAGTGCTCAGCAAGATTGGATACAAACCTCCGAAGCTTGGAAGAGGCTTGTTGTCAATGTCAGGGATCGTCAGCATGTCCATGACGGTGGACAAGACAATAGGCAAGTTGGAGCGTTTGAAACCCATGGAAGATGAGGAGAAGAAGTGGGGAATCTACTTGCTTGATCGATTGGCGTCGTACAGCTACCAGTGTGATGCTAGTCTCTTCCCGCCCGCTATCACCAAAGCGCTTGATTGGACAGTGAAGCATGGCAGAGCCGAAACGACATCACCTCTTCTCGCAACCATTGCCCTGATTTTGGCAGGGTCCTTCAGTGATTTCGCTGGTGCCAAGAAGTATGCTGATCTTGCCATCAAGTACATGACACCCAGTGTTAAGGCTCAAACTTATTTCATGTGCTATCAGTTTGTTTATCATTATCAAACGCCCAATCACGTTTGTATTCGACGTCTAAACGAAGCTTTGGAAACCGGCATCAAGTCTGGCAATTTGGAGTCAGCTTTCTATGCCGGATATTGTGCTCTGGAGGCACAATTCCATACAGGAAGGAACTTACAACTGCTCTTGGAAGACTGCAAAGCATATGCACACCGGACCGACAGTTACGGTCAAGAGATGATAGGTTGGAGCCTGTCGCCTGTTTGGCAACTCGCAGAGAACTTGTCGAGAATCGAGTCCAACGGGGCCATCCTCACGGGCAGCACAATGGACGAGGAGGAATTCAAGCAACGAACCGAACCGTACGCGCACTTTGGGGTACTACTGAACCGTATCAAGACTACGGCAGCATTCTGGTTTGACGATCACGAGCGGGTTGTGCAGCTTATGGAGGAATGTGGCTACCACAAGTTTTCTATAGAGAAGGCAACTCCGGCAACCAACGGTATCGGCGTTGTCTACTTTCACTGTGCCCTGTCGTGTCTCTCTCTCGTTCACCAAGCACAAAAGAAACATCGACCCCACAAGCAGCAAGCGAAGAAAATCCTCAAGAAGTTGAAGGAGTGGGTGAACAAGGGGAATCCGAACGTACAGCATTACGAGTCTTTGTTGGAAGCCGAGCTTGCCTCTTGCAGCAGTAGGCAGCCACTCATTGTAGCTTCGAAGCACTATGATTGCGCCATCATGCTAGCGGGACGTCTTGGCTTAGCCAACGACTACGGTCTAGCACAGGAACGATTCGGTGATCATTTTCTCAGGCATGGTGACCAAGATGGTGCCAGGCATCATTACAGTTTGGCCTTAGAATCGTACGAGAAATGGGGCGCAACATCAAGGTTGAATTTGTTGCAAGCAAGGACGGAGCTTGCAAGGGGGTAGATCCATCCGTTGCCGCGACATCTTCGGGTCGTTTCGCTTGTCCTTGCATCGCTTTCGTAGAAGGCAGAGATAAATCACAATAGCCGTACATTGTACAATAGAAATTAAACAACTTGAACACTGAAACTTTTACTGGCTAGTTAACAAAGCGAAACATCCAATGCATGCAAAGCCTCTAGTAGCAGAAGAATAAAATGGAAGCAACCACAGACAACCACAGGCATGCCAATCGGCCAAGACCCATCCTCGAGAACGCTGCAGAATTGCCATCTGCTCCCGGAAAGTCGGAGGCTGATCCACACTAGCGGAACAATGCCTAAAGAACTATCTCTCGCCAAGTGTTGTTAAGACTTTACTTTATGAACGGACAGGCTCATCTCTAACTTCGAAACAAATCGAATCTCTAAGGAAGAGTCTGCTTCTATATTATTATTTATTTAAGCTTATCGAACGAGGGGTGTTTCGTTAAACATTTATTTCAAGAGAAAGTGGTAAAAACAATGGTCATCTGATCTTTGAAGCACTGAACTTACTTAGTAAAAGAACCCACAGAAGAAGAACAGCTTCCCGATCACTGCGTTCACCTTGAGTTTAAGATATCAATGACCGATGGCTCATACAGTACGTACGTACGTACGTACGTACCACCTCGTACGGTAGTCTACCTTCATTGCACTGATGCCTGCGATTGCAAAGAATCAAGAGAATGGGCCGAAAAGGGGTGATAGGCAGTAATGTGATTGGCTAATCAAGCTATGACATCAGCAAATACGTCAGGAAAGATTCAAATATACTTAACGTACCATTTATAGATATTACGGAGTTAATGTGCTGCCAAGTTCGAAATTTCGTTGTTGTTTTCGTTCGAAAAGAAAGATTCCATCGGAGCCTGTCGATCGACAATGATGGCTTCGCTCAGTCAGTAGGTCATTTCGCTGCCAACGAAGCAAGCAAAAGAGCACCATGGAGCAACCAACAGCAGCAGCAGTAGAAGCAGCAGCAACAACAACAACACAAAATGAAGGAATGGGCGGCCAGAGCCAGAATCGAAATCCACAACAGAAGAGAGCATTCCAACTCGCCACCAACAACAACCCAAGATCATCAAAGAGAGCGAGAGAAGAAGGAGCCCAAACAGCACTGGAAGGAGGGATAGCAGAAGTCTTTGATCCACTCAGACACTGTCAGGTCTGTAGGGCCAGACATTTTGGTCTCAGAGTCCCCAAGAGATCACACTCTGTCTTCTGTATTAAGAATACAATAACAAAAGGACAAGGACCTTTGAATGCGCTGACAATGGAGACAATCAAAGAAAGCAGAAGACTCACAAGGCAATTCAGTGCTCCTCTTCCACTGAATGAGAGAGGAAGCTGGAGGCATTCCACAAGAGAAAATGGAGAAGCTTTCTTTGCTCCCAGAACAAATACAGCCAGAGCCACAGCCAATGAAATTCGACCAAAGTACAAGGCAATGGCAACTCCAGCTGTGTTCTGCGAGAAAGTCACCGCTCTTGTAGAGGATGCCACTTTTGTGGAGAAGCACAAGACCAAAATAGCTCCCCTGGCAATCATAGCTATGGCAGAAGCAGTGTCTGAGTCGATCACCAGATCCAAGAACAAGGAGCTTTTCAATCAACACTTCGAAGGACTCACCACGACAGTCCCAGCCACAAAGGATCAATTCGAGTCTCCCCACTATCACTCGATTGTTGGGCAGAAACTCCTCCTAGTGGACTGGGATCGATGTGGCATTGCTGTACCTTGTCCTGATGGTACATGCTCTGGCCAACTCAAGAATGATAGAAGCAAATGGTCTGTTTCCTTCTCGGATTTGCTGGACCTCATCTTGGTGCATGGTATGTCATGGTCTGCAGCTGCTGCAAGGAGATTGATTCCAACAAGCAGAGGTCTGGTGTCATCCCAGAGCATGCTTCCTTGCTGTATCCAGTCGACTCAAGTATGCCTTTGCTAAGAAGGACTATCACTAGAAGAACAGCAACTGAAGTGTTGCGTCTATAATGGTTACATATGGTAATGGTGACCTCTGCAGTCGGCTCCTCTACAACGCAATGAACAGAGAGTATCTGAGAGCCATGATGTCATACTTTTCATATTGGCAAGGAAGTGAGAGGGATCCTCCACCATTCCTTCCAAAGGATGGGACTTACATCAGGCAATACCCTCCTCTTGGTGACACCATCCGTGACTTCTTCGATAAGGCTGCTGCATCCAACAGGAACCCATGGAGGATCAGTGACAACACGAGGCACACTAGAGAGATTCAAAGTGTCAGTTGCAACAAGGGTATCTTCTGCCAAGACCATACCTTCCAGCCAGTCAAGAACTACATGAAGAGAGAGGTTGGAGCAGTCGCTGTTTGGGATGCTGCCACTGAAACTGGAGAGATAGCTTCGGCGGTGCTGGTTCCTACAACCAAGACCATCCACTTCTCCCATGCAGCCATGCAACTAGCAAGGAGGAGCCACTTCAATCCGGTTGCCATGTACAGCGATACCTGGCCCAACAAGGACAACTTTTGGGAGGAGATTTTTCCAGGTATCGATGGAAGACTTGGCCTGTTCCATTATGAGAAGAGAATACTGTCAACTTTGAGAAAGGGACACATCGACTACTTCGAAGCTTTGAATGCTCTCTTGGATTGCCTCTATGAGTACTTACCAGAAGACTTTGAGAAGGTTCTCTATGCTCTAAAACATGGTCTACTATCAGCTGATGGCAAACACTATTCCATGGTGGAGATATCAGACATGCAAGCCTCCAAGGTCTTCCGTCAAAGATACTCCAAGTTCCTAAGGAAGAAGATGAGAGAACCAGAAACAATGAGGCAGAGGTTGCAACAGTGGTTCTGCAGATACAAGGTCACTGCTAGTGAGGGCAGCCAACCTGGACAAGGACGACTCGATCCAGTCAAGAACTTTACCTTGTTCACTCCAGACACCAAGCCAGCAGTAGACAACTGCATCGAGAAAGCCATTCACTTGGCTGATCCACTACCAATGGAGCAAATGTATGACACAATCCAACCTTCTCCAAACTCCAAGCACAATCTTCCAGAGTACCTATCAAGGAGAGGAGAGTCAAAGTTAGAGGCTTTCCATGACAAGTTCGCCCACTTTGGCAATGGTGGAATGAGGAGGAGCCTTGCTGATGCACTCAACCTTGCTGGCACTGCTAGATACAACCTCAAGATTTGCCACAAGAGAGCCTTCCTGTCAAGAATCAGTGTGGCAGAAAGGAAGTCAATTCCAGCTGGATGGGAGAAGGTTGTTCCTTACTGGAACCATTCAGAGTTGGCTTACCTGAATGACATGGCAGAGGCTGTTGGTCTAGACAAGCCATTTCCAAATGCAGAACCACTGCCAAAGGACACTGGAGAAAGATTCTTTTCAGACTTCATTGTTGGATTCAAACCTCACAGGCAGAAGTACTCACCAAATGATTGTTGCTTGTGTAGATTGTGCACCGGTCAAATGGAAGCTCCACAACCTGAACCACAAGCACAACCAATACCACAACCACAGCCAATACCACAACCACAACCTCAAGCACCACCCCCACTAAATCCACAACCTCCACCACCACAACCCGCTCCTGTGGCACAAACAAGAAATGCTTATGTCGGGAACCTGCTGCTATACAGACAACAACAGATTCAAATGATGCAACTCCACTTACAGATGCAGCAGCAATTCCAGCCGATACTGCCTGCTCCTTTCCAGCAACCTCCTCCACAAAATGGCTGCTGTCAGCGCTACTGCCATTGGTTGACTCGCAGGAGAGGAAGACCACCACATGACGCCTATTGCCGGTCTCAATACAGTAGATATGGTCAGCAGAATGGGTAGCATTGTTGCATCATTGTAATCTAGTAATCTAGATGTTAACTTACATTTCAATTCCATCAATTAACATAGCAAATTGGGGTCGCAGGCCTCCAGAAGACTCAATGTCATCAATGCACAAAGTCACAAACTCCTCAGTCATCATACTGAACTCCTTGAAGGAAACTTGGTCTTGGTACCACTGACTGTAATACCCATGCCATGCAGCCATTACTATGGCATCTTCACCACAGCCCAAATCAAACCGCTCATGGACCCTCTCCTTCACCAACCAATACATGCACTCAATAAAGATGTCCTTCCTGTCACAAGCATGTGGTCCCTCCAGCATTTCATAAAGGGAGGAGACAACAGCATTGTACCATTTTTGACTCTTCTGAACCCCAGACTCAATCATGTGATCCATGATTCCTGTCATGTCAGGAGGAAGAGGCTTGCATGCTCCTTGGTAGATCAACTCCTCAAAATCCGGCACTTCATTTGTGGGACAACAATGAAACTTCTGGTAGTTCGAGAGGTGTGGCTCTTGTTCTTCCACAATGATGTACTTGCAGGTGAACCCATGCCTTGTTGCCCTCAGCTCATTGAATGGGTATCTGTTGACACTCAACAGCCACTTGGAGAAGCCTGGACTAGTACTGATCCTCATGGCGCAGGAATTCAATCTTCGAGCCATTCGGAGGGAGCGATTGGAGGAAACGGAGCGACGTAAAAGGACGACGTTCGATCGGTGGACGGAGGATACAACAACGACGAGTACAAGGTCGGTGCGTGGATAGGATAATGATTAGTAACATCATGAACAGTAGTAGTAGCTAGTAGCAGCAACAACATCATTGTCGACCATTATCTTGCTTACCTGACCACAACAACAACAAAAATGCACCAGCCATCGAGTTTCGTGCAATTTTCGAAAATGGGAAGGTCTTCTTCGAGCGAAGGATAGGGAAAAGAGCCAATCAGTTATCCGTTGCATCAATTTGAATTTTGAGAGCAAGTGCGATACCAACGCATCAACGTACCTCCATTTGACGTTCTTCATGACGTTATATGTGTTCTTCGGACGTCTTACCTCGTCTTACCTAGGGGGGATGACCGGTCATTGACCAATCCCCTCCTTTCTCTGCTAAGTATTTGA